TAGAGCTGCTGAGAGTTTGAAGCGGGTTGTGAGTGACCGGCTCTGCAGGCGAGCAGCCCGAGAGGAGGAGGGTTCCCACTGCAGCCGGAGCCAGGCGGAGCTCCCAGCTCCCCGCCGGGCCCAGAGGGGTTAACGCGGGGCTGGGGAGCGCCCGGAGCTCCTGCGGTCCTCCCGAGGAGGTTTAGGGACCCGCAGGTGAGGGAGGAGCTGGAGGAGGGGCTGTGCTCGGAGCAGAGGCCGAGGTCAGTTCGGCCCCCCAGGCTGGGATTAGGGGTGCGGGTGTTGTGCTCACATTCCTGACGCTCTTTAACACCCGCTGCAGGTTTGGGGTCGGCTTTGTGTCTCAGCTCTGCCAGCTCCTGCCCTTGTCGTGATTTCCTCTCCAGTTTGAAGGGAGGAGAGCATCTGGCCATGCACTAATCCTGAAGACAGCAAAAGCTTTGAGTCCTGGAATGGTTGTGGGTGGGAAGGGACCTTAAATTGATCTTGTAATTCTGTTCCACTGCCGTGGGCAGAACAAACCTTCCCGGGGTCCCAGGCTGCTCCAAGCCCCGTCCAGCCTGGCCCTGGACACTTGAGGGATCCAGGGGCAGGCACAGCTCCTCTGAGCCAGGGCCTCCCCACCCTCACAGGGAACAATCCCATCCCAATGTCCCATCGGAGCCTGCTCCAAGAAATCATTGGTGCCAAAAGGCTGGAACAAAACAGGTGCGAATAGGTTGTTTTATAAAAAGTCGTTTTTTAGGAGTTCTCTCCAGCTCAGAGCTCCACCACCAGCCCTGGAGCGTGACCGGATCCAGGTTTCCAACGCCCTCGGCTACCGGTCCGACTGGTTTTTAGGAAAACACCGCAGACGCCTTGGATTGATCTTGGGTCTCCAGTTTCAGTGCCTGCACCACATCCTGCTGCTGTGACCCCATGGCACCTCCTGCTCCCGCTCCGTCCCACGGGGCCATCCCCGCGGGGAAAAGCTGCTTTTCCTCACCCATCTCCTCGCGTTTGGGTTTTACTGCCTCCACACAACCCCTGCAGCATTTCAAAGCCTCTGCACGCCGGGAGCTGGCTTTAAATATTTCCAGGGTCTCCCACGAGAGTGCTGCATGGATGCTCGGCAAATTGGAGTTGTCCTGACACCTGAAATGGTGGGAAGGATGAAGAAGGATGGATCTGCAGCGCCAGAGGGTTGCCAGCCTCTTCCCAAGCTGCTGTAATGCAATATTTTAAATACAAATATATTAATATTCATGTTTGGCATAGACATACCCTCTTCTGTTTCCTGTTCAGTGCTGCTGCAGAGGGTTCCTGCCTTTGGGAGAACACGCTGAAAAAAAACCCCTTTGGGGCCTTGATTTCCACCTTATTCCGTTTTCAAATCCCACCTGGAATCTGCCTTGACATCTCCCGCCGTGCCTTCAAAGCCCTCTGATGTGATAAGGCTCAGCCCCTGCCAAGACACAGAACATCTGCTGGGCTGCAGGAAGGGGGAAAGGGAACCTTGTTCTAATTTCTGGGAGGCAACCAGCTCCCAGTCCTCCTTTGCAGGGTGGGTTTGGGGCTTTCGTGGTGCTCCCAGAGGTGCACAGGGAGCAGGGCCAGCGATGTGCCGGGGCACGGAAGAGCAAGAAAATCTGGGGCTGACCAAGAGTTTGGATTTGTAGTGACGAGAGGAAACGCGCTCAAGGTGTGCCGGGGGAGGTTCAGGTTGGACATCGGGAGGAATTTCCTGAAAACACCGGGGAGTGGTGGAGTCCCCATCCCACCCGTGGCACTCCATCAGTCAGTACTTGGACTCGATGATCTCAGAGGTCTTTCCCTACCTAAATAATTCTGTGAAAACCAGGAACCATCATTAGTTTTCAACCCCTTTTCCCCGCTGCTTCTCCCCAGAAGCAATCCCGAGGAACCTGCTCGTCCCACAGAAACCCCTGGCGCTCCCCTGGGTGCTGCTGGGGCAGGGGAAGGGTTAAGCCCGGCCTTTGGGAGCCTTTAAATGCGGACAAACCTCCCGAGCGCTGCCGGAGCTCGCCGGCGCCAGCGGGGAAAGCGCCGGGCGCTAATTGGAGTGACGGCCCCGGAGCCGTGAGGAATGAGCGGCGCACGATGAGGAGGTGCCCCCAAAACCCTGACCCCTGCAGCGACCCTCCCGCCCTGTCCGCGGGGCGCTGCTCCCTCCAGGGAGGGATTTTCATCCCCGAGCGGCGCAGCTGCTGCTGGAAAAGCTGCGGCCGGCAGGAATTAAACTTTTGGTTTTCGCTGCGAGCCCCGGCGGTGGCAGCGGCTGTCACAGGGACATCTCCGCTCCAATTTTAAATCAAATTCACAGTGCTGCTCCTGCCCCAGATTCTCCGGGATCGGGGGCGGCGCAGGACAGAAAAAGCTGCACCAGCCAGAGCTCATGTGCCCGATCCTGGGCTCAAGCTGCTCCTGGCAGCAGGAAAGCCCCTTGTCCTCCTCCTCCTCTGCTCCCGCTGTAATCGGAGCTGGCTGGACAGAAGCTGCTTCCCCCTGGATCCCGTTTTCCCAGGGATAAGCCATCCTTAAATGCTTTTCCTCCATCCCGGGACAGTGGGGAATTGGGGTCCTT